GTTCAAACCAGAGAAAAGAGGTTCGTCTACCGATACCAATGCCCTATTGGCTACCACAGAACAGATTTTTTTGGTATTTATCTTTGTGTAGAAGAAGACAATTTATTCTAATGGCTTATTTAAGTATCGCAAAGAATGTTTAGTAAGCCGGATGTATGGAGGTTAGAGTTAAGGAGGTAATCATTATTTATGGGAGAAAAGTTAAAAAAGTCTCCAAATGTGTGCTATAAATAAAAGTTCAAAAACCACTGAATGTAGCAGTGCGTGTGCGCTTGTTTTGCAATGTTTGTCTTAAGCCTTCGTCAAACAGAACGCGTAATTAGCGCGCGTCAGAGCGCTAAACTGACGCCGCGCTATGACGCCGCGATGTGTTGTACTACTATGGTAACATACCGTCAAACAGAGCCCCAGCGCTATAAGTACGCAGCGCTCTGTCGCGGCGTCAGGACGCTTTGACGGCAGGCGTTGTAATTTTTTACAAATTTTATTTTAGCGTCCGAATGTATTAAAATACTAGATAATGCCCGAAAAAATGATATAAATAGTTAGAAAATACCCATGCTTATACAATCCCACATCTGAATCACTCGATTTCTTAATACTTTTAAATTTTCACACTGCTATCGAAAGGCACTATGATTTGGCGAATGCGTTGCGTCAAGGAGCGTTATATCCGGTCAATTTGAAGAGCGCGACGTTAAGTACGCGACGCTAAGTACGCGTTCTGTTTGACGAAGGCTTTAATGTTAACAATAACTATTAAAACTTCTAGAACGATTACTCATGAACATTAAAGTTATTTGTAATTTTTTAAAGGTCCGCTTTATTTGGTATTAGCATCAATAATTCAATGTTTTTAATTGAACTTTTAATTGTTTATCCCATTCAAATATCTGAAGAAGTTTTCCGGTCATCAGTACGTATATTTTTTAGATATTTTTAACATTAAATGATTCTCCTGCAAAGTTACAAAGTTGCTTAAGCCAAATAACCTGTCGATAATATATTTTATTTGTATAATGCTGTGTTTTCAAATTGTAATACTATAATTAGTTGCTATATTTGTTTCCTGGTAATTTTAAATGAGATGTGTCGAAACAAACACTATATATATATATATATCTCAGTAGCGGTGCCAGCGATTCCAAACACAAATTCAATTTGTACGTGATTTTAAATTGTATGTTTGTTTGCTTATATTATTAATGCAAAATAAAAAATTTAATGCAAAAGTTCTCGTCTTGAATTTTATTCACCTATTTTACTGTGTTCCGAATAAAAATAATCATAAATTAAATTCTTCTATCCAAGCCCTTGACACATGAGTATTTGAGTCGACTATTATCAAAGCCGGCAATCTGACTTTTGGACAATGATTGGTAAATCAGAAAAACGAATTATTGACTTTGTATTCCATTGGCAGTCACAAAACTCTTCGGAACGACATCTTAGATAAATAACAGGTTAACTATTAACCTTTATTTAATGCAGGTTTTGAACCGTATTCTTTGAAGGAGACGATTATATTCAAATCAATCTGTATTGACATATCAATAAATTTTTTTTGTCCAAATGCACAGATTGCCACCTTTGATAATAGACGACTCATTTTTGATATTTCATTATTTACCGGCTTTAGTTTGTGATATCAGCCCGCACGGATAGAAATCACGATCTTATCCGTTTCATCTCTCTCTCTTGATGAGACTTCGAACTAATCAGAAAGATAGTCAGTAAAGCTGAAAACCTTGACATATTTGGCGATTCCCTTCCAATATTCAGGAACAGAATTATAAAAAGTTTAGGTACCACCACCCCCCCTATTTCCGCCGTGAAGCAGCAATGCGTTTCGGTTCGAAGGGTGGGGTAGCCGTTGTAACTATACTGAGACTTTAGAACTTATATCTCGAGGTGGGTGGCGCATTTACGTTGTAGATGTCTATGGGCTCCAGTAACCACTTAACACCAGGTGGGCTGTGAGCTCGTCCATCCATCTACACATTAAAAAAAAAACACGTTAAAGCCATTTTCAGACTACGCTATAATATAATAGCATATTATAGTATATAGCTCACAGCGGCACAATATCGTACTGTACTATATATTATTGCGTTAGTATACGCCGCTATACTATACGGCACTATAGTATAGCGTAGTCTGAAAGCAGCCTAACGGGCATTGCTAGAAATCAGCAGGGTGATGTAACCTACCTATAAAGGCTTACAAAACGTTCAGGCGCCGGGCGTCTTATCCTCGTAAGTTTAAATTTTCAAGTCCGGGCAGAAGGGGTCGCCCCGAGACCGGTCCCGCGCTCCTGCAAGGGGTCGCAATGACCCTACAGATAGTGCTAGTGCCAGTTTTTTGTTTTTGATAGTGCAAAAGTAGGAAGCCGACTTAACCTAATAGGTGTATGGCTCTAATAAAGAATAAAAAAATAAAAAAAATAGTGCAAAAGTTAACTCTGCATTTGGAACAGCGCCCCTAGCGGCAAGAGTAGGCAAACGTTCCAACTCCATACAAATTTGAGTTAACTTTCACGGTATCGAGGACGTTAAAAAACTCGCACTAAGCACACGGACTCTCGGAGAAGTTGGCCGGTTCACAACATTCTCTAAACGCTATGACATGTCCTTCTTTAAGTTTGTTTTCAATGAAGTCATAACCGGAAGATACCAGATGATAAAATTTAAAAGCAATAAAACAACTCAATCAGTTTGCACATTTATTTTTTACAATAATAATATAATAATAATAATTAATAATATATTCTTAAACTATTAAAGCTGGCACAGATTTTTGTTTTCACCACAACAATGCTAAATTCACACGGCGTCACGCACGCGGCGTATTAAACGCGGCGTTTTTGTACTAGACTGAATCAATCGTGAAAATTCGTAACGGAATCGCTATTGTATAATATCATGGAAGCCTACTTTTTTTTTATTGCCCTTGTAGGCAGACGAGCATATGACCAGCCTGATGATGAGTGATTACCGTCGCCCATGGACTTCAGCAATGCCAGGGGCAGAGCCAAGTCGCTGCCTACCGCTAAACTACCTACCTGCCTAGCCTACTCAAGTTTCAGAACTCAATTACCTTAGACATGTCCTTTCGGATCCTCTCGATCCACTCTCAGCATTTTTAGGCACACTAGTACCACACACTGTCCTTGTCGAACTGTTCGCATTTGACGTGCGACTTAACCCATACACAAAAACTAATAAGTATGTCGCCGGATCTTCTCAGCGGGTCGCGATTCAGCTAAGGGCAGATCTTAGCTAACTCTTTCAGGCTGAGCCCCGTGAGCTATCCCACCAGTCAGTGTAAAGCCAGAACATTCTCTCCAGGCTAGCAGCAGATATTATTTACTGGTGGTAGGACCTCTTGTGAGTCCGCACGGATAGGCACCACCGCCCTGCCTATTTCTGCCGTGAAGCAGTAATGCGTTTCGGTTTGAAGGGCGGGGCAGCCGTTGTAACTATACTGAGACCTTAGAACTTATATCTCAAGGTGGGTAGCGCATTTACGTTGTCGATGTCTATGGGCTCCAGTAACTGCTAAACACCAGATGGACTGTGAGCTCGTCCACCCATTTATGCAATAAAAAAAGGCAAAAAAAAACTCTAATATTTAGAAATCGATTCTTTGAAATCTACTACACGTCTTTGTTTTTGAGAAATCGTTTTTTATTTTATATACTCTAAATATAATAAGTTAAAGCTTTGGTAAACATAATAATAGGATTTAAAAAAAAAAAAGTTAAAAAGTTAAGCATGAAAGAGGAGTGCATGCGGCAGAGATGCGAATGTTGAGATGGATGTGTGGAGTGACAAGAATGGATAAGATAAGGAATGAGTATATCAGAGGAAGTGTGAAAGTGGCCCCGGTAAACAACAAATTAAGGAGCGGACGGTTAGCGTGGTATGGACATGTGATGCGTAGAGAGAAGATGCATGTGACTAGGAGATGTATGGAAATGGTAGTGCAAGGTAGAGGGGGAAGAGGTCGACCAAAGAAGACATGGATGGAGTGTGTGAATGACGATATGAGAGAGAGAGAGGAGTGAGTGTTGAGATGACGGCTGATAGAAGAGAATGGAAGAGAAAAATTAGCTGTGCCGACCCCACCTAGTGGGATAAGGTGGATATAAAGAAGAAGACTGATAAACTCTAAGCTCATGGTCTACCAGCGAAAGTTAAAGATGCCGCCCTCCTGATATGTTAGTTCGAAGTCTCATTAAGACAGAGAGAGATGAAAGGGATAAGGCTATCCGTGCAGGCTGTTATCACCAACTAAAACCGGTAAATAATGAAAGCTGTGCCGACCCCACCTAGTGGGATAAGGTGGAGAAAAAGAAGAAGGATTTAACAAAAAAACGCCGCGTCTAAATGCCGCAGTGCGAATCAAATACAACAACAATATTTTACATTATAAATAATGTACACTGATTTAATATTACGCAACAATCAAATTAGGGACTGCAATGGATTTAATTTTAATTTATAATTATAACAATAATAAATAATTACAGTCCGATTACAGTCGTCAAAATTATAAAATATAATCTAAACTAACAAATTTGTAAGTACATTTATTGAACTATGTTTGCCTTCAGCGCACAATAATATATATTATATAGTTGTTAAATTATTTACTTAACTAACATTATTATTAAGTTATAATGGCGTGGTTAAAACAATATTACAGCTAAACTGTAAATGTCAATACTGAATTATTTGTAATATAAGTTAAAAATTATCTCTTACCCGGATCTGTGTGGTGGTCGATTTCCATTTTTTTTTTTTTTAATTAACATAATTATTTAAACGTTCCGAATTCAGATACTTTTTTGCTTAGATGGGTGGACGAGCTCACAGCCCACCTGGTGTTAAGTGGTTACAGAAGCCCATGGACATCTACAACGTAAATGCGCCACACACCTTGAGATATAAGTTCTAAGGTCTCACGTATAGTTACAACGGCTGCCCCACCCTTCAAACCGAAACGCATTACTGCTTCACGGCAGAAATAGGCAGGGTGGTGGCACCCACCCGCGCGGACTCACAAGAGGTCCCACCACCAGTAAATACTTCACTCTAACTCTACTTCAAACTAAAGTCTTCTCCTGAATTATCGGAATAACTTAACATAATGATTCTGATTGTGACCACCTCTATAGAACATCCCGGGTCTCTATATACACACTAACATACGACCACCTTCTCGCAGACTAATTCTTCTAGACCCGGGCCCTTAATTTTACTGATACAAAGTATTGCAAGCTCGTAAGCGTATATCATATCAGCCAGATGGTCAGATCTGGTTAAGGAAGCGGTTGGTGGAAGTCTCCACCGTGGGTTCCATTCCGCCCATGATCGAAGACTGTTGGTTCCTACCAACAGTTTGAAGTTTGAAGGGTGGGGCAGCCGTTGTAACTGTACTTGAGACTTTAGAACTTATATCTCAAAGTGGGTGGCGCATTTACGTTGTAGATGTCTATGGTCTCCAGTAACCACTTAACACTAGGTCGGCTGTGAGCTCGTCCACCCATCTAAGCAAAAAAAAGTTTTTCTTTCTTCCTATAAGGAAGACAGCAAGACGGTATATACTGGCAGTGAGAAGTGCCTCCATAACCCTGATATCATGGCTACTAGAGCCAACCTTGAGCACGCAGCAATAACCATCGCCGATCTAGAGAACTCATATCTCAAGGTGGGTGGCGGCATTTACGTTGTAGATGTATATGCGCTCCAGTAACCACTTAACACCAGGTGGGCTGTGAGCTCGTCAACCCATCTAAGCAATAAAAAAAAAAAAACATTGCAACTATACTATAAGCGACGTTTTCATTTCCTATTAAACTATAACTGTACTATACGATTGAAATAAATATATTAAAATAGAAATATTACATTTGACATGAATAATAAATAAATATAAATATATACAGTCGCTTTGCTACTAAGCAAATTCCAATAACATGATCAAAATTCTAAACATAAATAAACCCCACGAATAGATAAATTTATTAAATAATTAATAAATAAATTTATTCGTAAAATAAACCATTATTCTAAACAATGTAACAATGAAATGCATTTACACCATAACTCAACAACAATCGTATAAACAATTCAGAAAATCAATAAATATATTTTATAATCGAACAATAACTTCGATTAGTAAGACAATAAAGTTAACAGTGAGTGAATATTTTGAAGAATCCTCTTCCTTTCTCTGGCTCTGGTCCCATGAGCATCGGAACTTGATTTTTATGCGTGATTGTGATCTGTCGATTGTAACGTAAGAATCTGTTGATTGTAACAATCGGACACGGGACGGAATCTTACGACTTAACCTATCAGGTCATCGTGGCCTACAGGATAAGACGTCCGGTGCATTCGTATCTAGCGATGCAACGGTGTTCGAATCCGGCAGGTCGGTACTAATTTTTCTAATGAAATACGTACTTAACAAATGTTCACGATTGACTTCCACGGTGAAGGAATTACATCGTATAACAAAAATCAAACCCGCAAAATTATAATTTGGGTAATTACTGGTGGGGTAGGACGTCTTGTGAGTCCTCACGGTTAGGTACTACCACCCCGCCTATTTCTGCCGTGAAGCAGTAATGCGTTTCGGTTTGATTGGGGCAGCCGTTGTACTGTACCACCGAGTTAGTCTCAATATCGAATGATAATTGAGGCCGTCAGCGCAGAAGTGGCCTAGCCCACAATTTTTCATATTCGTGCTTATGTATTTAAAAAAATATTTAAACATAATAAATTATGATGCAAAACCGGCCTATCCCTAGTTTCACCTATAGATTTATTTATTTTTTCTTTTTCCTTTTTCCTACCTATGCTGATGGCCTTGAGATGCTATTTCAGCTTCGCCCTAACGTGTAGGTGAGCTCTCGGGGCTCAAACCGGAGTGTTGCTAACACTAACCCTAGCAAGAACAGTGCTTCGCAGAATCTACCACCGGATCGGACACGCGACCCACTGAGAAGATCCGGCGAGAAACTCAGTGGGCTGTGTCCGGTACATATAGATAACAGATGGCTTTTTAAACATTATGTTTGCGCTATTGTTTTTGCCTGCAAAGCAGCAGTAAAAGTAAATCCAGGCCTTGTTATCTCCATACTACTAACTATGGTAACCTTAAGGCACTTTTGCGCTGACGGCCTCAGTTTTCGTTGGATGCTGTCTTACCGTGCACGGCGGCTGCATCCAGGGCTCGCCGTCAATCTGCATCGGGAACATTCTCTTCGTGGTGATCGTTATTGAGCTGCACTGGGCCAACCTTCGCCCGGAGGCTCGAAGGCCTGTGTGTCAGGTCCGCCAGGGTAAGAAAAGTACCATAGACTTCTTACTTATAGAGCTTATCAGATTTATGGCGTGGGGAAAAGTTCTGTTTTTCCACTTGGCCCGTGGTCATTGTTTTGAATTTAGATATGTTTGGGACCGGGAAAAGGATAAGTTTTTGGACTCACTCTGTATTTTCTCAATGACGAGAGTTATATGTGCTGATTGATCAACAAATCACAATTTTATTGTTTTTGCACCGGCACCATGTTTTAGTTTTTTTTTTACACACTTCTTCCCCATTTTCATACGCGTAGTTTTTCTTGTAGCGTCAACAGATGGCGTGGATACGGGATTGAGGAAGGAATAAGGAAAAGGAAGTCCCAACAGTCATCATAATTTCACATTTGAGACATGTGATTCAAGTCTCAAATGCTCTCCAATATGCTCTGCTATTAGTATTCACGTATTACATAATAATAGTAAGATGCTGGTGGTAGGACCTCTTGTGAGTCCGCACGGGTAGGTACCACCACCCTGGCTATTTCTGCCGTGAAACAGTAATGCGTTTCGGTTTGAAAGATGGGGCAGCCGTTGTAACTATACTGAGACCTTAGAACTTATATCTCAAGGTGGGTGGCGCATTAACGTTGTAGATGTCTATGGGCTCCAGTGACCACTTAACACCAGATGGGCTGTGAGCTCGTCCACCCAATTAAGCAATAGAAAAAAAGATTAACTATAGGAGATAAGAACTCAGCGAGGACATATATTTGTTGTCTGTTTGGTTGTCTGACCCTCATAAGCGGAAGGTGTGACTTCTTCGGTAGGAATAGGCAGCATTTACCGTGTAGATGTTTATGGGCTCCAGTAACCATTTAACACCAGGTGGGTTGTGAGCTCGTCCACCCATCTACGCAATATAAAAAAAAAAATGCGTAGTTTAATATTGATCCTGGACTGTGTAAGGTACCAATTGTTGGGTTATAATATTTCCATATCGAGAATACCATTAATTCTAGCTGGCCATTAAGCTGTATAGAAAGTATCGTAAATAATCATATCATCACGATAAAATGTATAAAAAATGTCTAATATTACTAAAATTTGCTTATCGATTAAAATACATGCATTTTATTGGTGTTAGGGCATCTTATGAGTCCGAATGGGTAGGTACGACCACCGTACCTATTTCTGCTGTTAAACAGTAATGCGTCTGGGTTTGAAAATTGGGACAGCCGTTATACTATAGAACTCTTGCCTCAAGATGGATGGCGGGTTGTTGATGTGTATGGGCTCTGGCAACCACTTCACACCAGGTGGGCCGTAAGATCGTCCTCCCATCTAAGCCAAAAAAAAGATACCTTATGAGGCTAATTGATTGATTTTTGTCTATATGGTTCAGCTACATATCAGCAGAAACCGGTGGTCATTGCTGAAAGCAGTACGAAATACATCATCATTGCATTTCATCACTAATTTTGGCCCCAAATGACGTCACGCGTAGTGAAGCACCTTTCATACGCGTCACGTGCAGTTCTCGAGGCGATTTTCGAAATATGTACCATTTGGTTTTCTGTTAAACAAAATGGAGTCATTACGAGATCACGTACCTGTCCGCACTTGACCCATGTGTAGACAATTCTCAAGTCCGATCACTTCGATCATTCTGTCGCCGATGTCTGAAAATGAGAGCATCTATTCATCATCAGTCCCCCCGAGACTACGATCAGCACTGCATGGATAGAGACCCGTGCTCGGCAGTGGGACAAAAGGTCTTCCTCCTCTAGCCCTTATCCCATATCATGTGAGATCGCCATGTCCTCTTACCGTGCCGTATAGGTGGACCTTTCTTTGGGCTATCGTTGGCATACGTTGGTAAAGTGAGATCAAAGTTACCCTATTTTTCTATATTATTTTCCAGAGCTCAAAGTATTTCTAGGAAGAATTGCATCAAATTAGGTTCAGTGGTTTGGGCGTGGAAACAAACAGACATAGTTTCCTATTTTTGATTTTAGTGTCGATCTGTTCTGTTTTGTCAGTGTGCGAATTTCTCGTCGAACCCGTCGCTTGCGATGAAGAGCGCGGCGAATAAATTGACCCACAGAAATGTGGCTCACTGAGTTTCTCGCCGGATCTTCTCAGTGGGTCACGTTTCCGATCTAGTGGTAGATTCTGCGAAGCACTGCTCTTGCTAGGGCTAGTGTTAGCAACATCCTTAAGGAGACCCATGAGCTCACCTACTTGACGGTTTCGCTGGCGTAACCCTCTAAGGTTACGTACCAGCTCAGGTAGAAAAAAAAAGTATGCGAATCTATGAATCCAAAACCTCAATTGTAAGGTTTTCAGACAAAACGCTGTGATGTGTACTACGTGAGGGATTGCGGTAAGTTCAGAGAGCGTGTCGAAGTGTGCCTCTCGAGTTGGAGAGGGTTACCTTGCTGCGCTTGCGGGAAGCGCCCCCGCCGCTGCGCCGCGCTGGTGCCCCACAGGTTGGAGCCGCCGTGCGCGTACGGGATGTTGAGGAGCGCCACGCCCTGCAGCGACGGACCCTTCTTCAGCTCAAGAGACGACCCGTCGCACTGGAACACGCCCTGGTGTATTTCGACAGTCCCACCCATACTATTACCATACTATACACCAGCCTTTCCGAAAGTGGGCGATAACGCCCCCTTGTGAACGCTGCAGGCTTAAAGGGGGGCGGTAAGAAACTCAGAAAAAAAAATGGGGTCGTTGTGTAGAGGCGAGGTGATTTGTAATTTCATCTAGGAGGACACTTAGACACCGACTGAGCTCTCAGTATAATGGTTTACTAGATGATGACTCGGATAGCACGATACTGAAGGTGATTTTCACAACTCGCAATTCCCTTTTTTTCTTACTTTTTTTTATTGCCCTTGTAGGCAGACGATCGTACGGCCCACCTGATGGTGAGTGGTTACCGTCGCCCATGGACTTCAGCAATGCCAGGGGCAGAGCTAAGCCGCTGCCTACCGCTTAATACTCTCTACAAGCCTCGTTTGAAGAAGGACATGTCATGGCGTTCGGGAAACACAGTGGAGGGGAGCTCATTCCATAGCCGGATGGTGCGTGGCAAAAAAGACCTCTGGAAACGCACTGTGGATGACCGCAGTGGCTCCAGGTAGTATGGATGAACTCTACTCCGGTGGCGGGCGGTGCGATGGTAAAAACGAGATGACGAGATCATCTCGAACAATTCCTCAGAGCACTCTATGTGTCATATCTAGAAACACTCACCACGATATCGATGTTCTCGTGTAAGTTCTTGCAGCTGGCTGCGAACTGTTCCGACGTCGCGAACTCAAAGTACCACAGCTTGTTCTTCATTCTAGAACTGAACTTGTCCGGATTCCTTTCTCTCTCCGTGTGGAACTTCACGCAGATAGCGGCGTCCTTTTGGACATTATTCGATTATTTTTGAACAATATTAGACGCGAGGAGGATCACTACGGGGGGCTTATTACTGGTGGTAGGACCTCTTGTGAATCCGCGCGGATAGGTACCACCACCCCGACCATTTCTGCCGTGAAGCAGTAATGCGTTTCGGTTTGAAGAATGGGGCAGCCGTTGTAACTGTACTGAGACCTTAGAACTTATATCTCAAGGTGGGTGGCGCATTTACGTTGTAGTTGTCTATGGGCTCCAGTAACCACTTAACACTAGGTGGGCTGTGAGCTCGTCTACCCATCTAAACAATAAAAAAAAATAAAAAAAATATCTCCGTGAAGTGAGCAGTATATTAAGACTAAAGACGGAATTACCTAAGCATCAAATTTTGCCAAGGAAAACTGGGTCATATGTATATAATTTTAGCTCACTATAAGGAATATCCTGGGGATTGGTATAGAGCAATACAGTTTTTCAGGTTTTACGTAAAATCGTTCGTAATACCTGAAATCATTTCGCTTATCGACAATACGCTTTTATAGTGTTTCATATCCCATAAAATCTGTCCCAGGAATGAACTTCCCTCCACGTTGCTTAACCAGCGTTGTCACAAACCCAAATGGGACCTCAAAAGAAGCCTCATCGGTAGACTTGGCTCTGACATAGCTGATGCTAATCCCTCACAACTATTTATTAGATGGTTCATATGGTCTATTAAGGATGGCAATAAAAAAGATTCTTACAACGCCGATGGAGAAATAATTGTTGATGATGTTGTACGGGACTGTTGTGGGATGAGGCGCCGAGTCTGGCATTTGAGGCTGATCACACTGGAAATAATTTTAATTGCATTTAATTATAAGCAAATAGAAATCACCATAGATTCAAGGGCGTAAAGTGACCGCGGTAGTACCAAGTTCTTCTGTCTATTTTTACTTTTTTTTTTATTGCCCTTGTAGGCAGACGAGCATACGGCCTACCTGATGGTGAGTGGTTACCTTCAGCAATGCCAGGAGCAGAGCCAAGCCGCTGCCTACCGCTTAATATTACTGTGAATTTATTCTCTTCTCTATATTAAAAATCTTAATTTTATTGGTGTTAATTCTTTTGTCTTCTTTACACCATTAATTGTTAGTAATTTTGTAATACTGTGTATGTTCGTTTCTTCTCCCTTTAGTCTTTCTAATTTTGATTTTTTTTTATTGCTTAGATAGGTGGACGAGCTCACAGCCCACCTGGTGTTAAGTGGTTACTGGAGCCCATAGACATCTACAACGTAAATGCGCCACCCACCTTGAGGTATAAGTTCTAAGGTCTCAGTATAGTTACAACGGCTGCAAGGCCCTTCAAACCGAAACGCATTACTGCTTTACGGCAGAAATAGGCGGGGCGGTGGTACCTATCCGTGTGGACTCACAAGAGGTCCTACCACGAGTGTTATTTAATTTATCAAGAAAACATTAGAACCAAAATCATAGATGCCTAATATGCCTAATTTTCCTTCTAGTAACATTTTTAAAGCATTTATGGTAACTGAAGCCATTGAGTATCGAGACAGGCCGATGTTTTTCACCCTCAACAGAGCTAAACAATCTTTTGTTCCATTTCAAATCCTCATGAAAGCCCTTAGGAATACGGCTTGATGTCTAGATGTGTTTATTTGATCCAGCCATGTCATTCCTAATTCCTGCAGCCTCTTTCCAGTTGCGAATTCATTTTAGTTCTCAGGAAACCCACTGCCTCAACGACTATTACTTCTATAAATTAAGAGCCTGTAACACTACCTCCATAGCCAAGTTTTCCACCATAATCTGCCACCTGTCCATCATCACAGTGCTCGCTCTGGCGATCTTGTCCAGTATTTTGTGAATTGATTCACCTTCATAGCTGCAATAATAAAGATGCCTTTTAAACAGGTTGAAATAGTCTGGGTTTTCCTTTAAGCTTTCGCTTTCCAAAGATTATCATAAAGTTAAAGAGTTTATGGTCCTTCGAACTATCAGATCCTTTTGCATTACTTATATCTACTGTCAGTGCCCTTCGTCCCTTTCTGAGTTCTTTACGAGATCTTGATAATATTTCAATCGGACCAGTTTTCAAAATTAAAAGATTCAACAACAAAAACCTAAAAAATGCTTTGAGATATATAACTTAAAAAATAAAACCTTTTTCGAGTTCAAGCAAGCAAACTCTTACCCTCCTCCCCACCGCAGACACCGCGCCAGATCATTTCCGGTTCCTAGAGGTATCACCCCGACCGCCGGCTGAGTTTCCATTTGCACCTTATCTGTACACACGATCTTGAACTTAAGCCAGCTTTGCACTTTAGACAAGACGTTTAAGCTCTATGGTCTGTGGTATGCAGACAAACGCACCTTGGTCTCATTTTAAATGTGAATACGTCAAAATATCCACAGACCAATTTACTGGTGGTAGGACCTCTTGTGAGTCCGCACGGGTAGGTACCACCACCCTGGCTATTTCTGCCGTGAAGCAGTAATGCATTTCGGTTTGAAGGGTGGGGCAGCCATTGTAACTATACTGAGACCTTTGAACTCCTAACTCTTACACTAGTTCCTACTTTAAATCCTGTTGATAGGGTGCTATATCCCAAAATTGCCTATACCTTAATTGCATTACAATTTTTCAATTTAGTTACCCAATCGTTAATAGAATGTACACTGCCTAGGAGCATTAGTAACTTCCAAGACCACCAGCCATTCGGTTAAGTTTTTCTCTAGTTGTCTTTTTCAAGTAAGATCATTTGAAACTGACCCATGGTCTCCAGAACCCAGCCAACTGTACCGTCTCCACCGCAGCATATGACACGATAGTTCTTCACGTCTTTGAACATCTGCAGACCTAGAAAGTACAAATCAGTTCTAGACTGGTGATAGGACCTCTTGTGAGTCCGCGCGGGTAGGTACCACCACCCTACCTATTTCTGCCGTGAAGCAGTAATGTGTTTCGGTTTGAAGGGTGGGGCAGCCGTTGTAACTATACTGGAGACCTTAGAACTTATATCTGGAACTAATAGAACTTGTATCTGAACTTATAGATGTCTATGGGCCCCAGTAACCACCTAATACTAGGTGGGCTGTCAGCAAATCCACCCATATAGCAATAAAAAAAAAGAATTGACTATTATATTATCATTACTGTATTGCATTACAAAACTAACGCCCACCTTGCGTAGGTCCTCCTTTGGTGATATCATGAACCTGTCTCGGGTTCAAGATATATTGGAGTTTCCTGAGAACCCTAGACCCTTGTCGCCCTCCGCTCTTAGGGTTTATGAACACTAGTAAAGGGCAGCTCCCCTCAGGAGGAGTTACTTGGAATGATATAGGAGGTGCTCTGGGCTCTTTCTTTTGCTCCTTCCGTTCTTCGGGAACAGCGGCTATCGAGATGGGCAGCGATATTGAAGTCGGCAGTGTTTGCTGAAATCAGTATTTTGGGTCATTGCTGGTGGTAGAGGATGTTTCTGTGTTTAATAGTCATCTGTTCCTGTGTTATGAAGGAGGTAGGTAGTCTTTATATAATTGGGGCTTCGGCCATTTGAGTCAAGAGGGGGGCGGTACTCATGCGGTAGTACAGTAAGTACGCCAAGCACGAAAATCTGTCGAATTCGTAATGTAAATGTATCGAGTCCTCGATACGAATGCGGCGCGTTACATTAGTACTCGATAGCCAGCCTTCGAGTTTTTTTTTTTCCTACCTACGCTGATAGCCTTGAGAGGCTATTTCAGCTTCCCCCTAACGTGTGTAGGTGAGCTCACGGGGCTCAGCCGGAGAGTTGCTAACACTGAGCAGTGCTTCGCAGAATCTACCACCGGATCGGAAACGCGACCCACTGAGAAGATCCGGCGAGAAACTCAGTGGGCTGTGTTTATGGGTTAGTTCGCTCATCGAGCCCTTCGTCGCAAACGACGGGTTCGACGAGGTCGGTGACCGGTACTTCGAGATTTACGTTACAGTATGTCAATACAATTTTTTTTCTATCTATGCTGATCGCCGTGAGAGGCTTTGTCAGCGTTGCTTTAGAATGGATAACATTTAGAATGCTCGAGAAGTACAACGCCATCTATTGTCAGATAGCGGAAACACGCACACATCGAAAACACTCGACTTGTGAGGAATGCTCTCGATAATTCTAGGGATGTCGTATCGACTACGGACGGATCACCTGAAGCAAAGCGGAAGAAGTGAATCGAGGATTTTAAAGTGTTTGTGAAGTGTTTTAAATGTTCTAAGTGCTAATGCAGTGTTAATATGTAGGTATTTCGGTATATTTTTTTATTTATCCCGAACCCTAGCGCGTAACAATATCATCTGTGGCGGGCTTGTCACCTGGTCAGGCTGCGGTCGGTGCGGCAGAGAGCGTTGGCGGTCGAGCACGAGAGGACGGATGGCGGTGGGCGGCAGGATGTGCGGCGCGTGGCGGCCCAATGTGCACGCCCCGCCCGCCGCGCCCACGCAACGGTTGTGGAGCTAAACGATATATACACAACACTGGATTAGCCACGAAGTAGGGCGGTCGGTATTCGGTTATGAAGGACACCATCGCCCATGGACATCAACATAGTCTATCGAAATAGGCCATTTTTAATACGCTTTTATTAGCTTCAGATGTATGTATGTTTGTAACGGAATCTTTGAACATGATTTTAACCCCCTTCAAAATGTCGGATTAACTCGAAATTTGGTATACTTATTAAGGACCAATGACAATTCATTATTTAAAAAAAAAATAGAAATAAATTTAAAAAATTGAAATTCAACTAAAAAATGAAAAATAAATAATAGTTTTAAAAAACTAATAAAATACGCTTTTATAGAAAATAAGAAAAGTGTTTTTATTGTAAAAAAAAAGCGTAGGGTGCATGGTATCAGTAGTTATAACTATTTTAGGAACAGATATGAGTAGAAGAGTTATTTTGATAATAATATTTTTTATTAAAGTTTATCTTTGGAGACGAGATCTCTCGCGTCGCGGACATTATTGCGAAATCGGTTAGTGCATGATAAAGAAAAGTATCGTATCTTCTCATAGCCACTCTTGGAGTACAAAAATAAACACTGATCAATGTATAAAAAAAAAACAGTGTTTAAATAGATTATAGAGAATTTTCACTGGTGGTAGGAAGGACCTCTTGTGAGTCCGCACGGGTAGGTACCACCACCCCGCCTATTTCCGCCGTGAAGCAGTAATGCGTTTCGGTTCAAAGGGTGGGGCAGCCGTTGTAACTATACTGAGATCTTAGAACTTATATCTCGAGGTGGGTGGCGCATTTACGTTGTAGATGTCTATGGGCTCCAGTAACCACTTAGCACCAGGTGGGCTGTGAGCTCGTCCATCCATCTAAGCAATAAAAAAAATATAAAAAAACGGTTGTCTGTAAAGTCGGTTTACTGACGATAGTTGAACGTGACAACGTCATAAGAAAATACTGATGGAATGGTTTCATTTTTCAATTATCGCAATTATCGTTGCTATAAACAATTGACACCACATTCACTTTTCACTGAACTTCATACTTGACGAAAGCATGTAATTGTATTATTGTATAGCAGCTGTCCACGCGGATGCATCGCTCACTCAAGTAGGAGAGAGACAGATGTCGAACGCTGCCGAACGCGAAGGCCAATTGTGCCTCTTTGTCGCTCGTTGTGCGCTCTCGCTTGCACTTCAAGCCTTAAATGGAACGCCTCAGAGCGAGGTAACGCCGCAAGAGTCATGTTTTTTCGTGCGTGCAGCCGGCTCCATCGAATTATAACACGTTGTGACGTCAAAAATATTAAACTTACTGTAATGTGACACCAGCGACAGTGCAAGCCGGTGATACCATTGTAGCCTTTGATCTTTTTCCGACATCTAGCGCATTTTCCGTGGCAGTTTCCTAAAAACAATATGAATCTACTTATAACTACCGAATATTGTTCTACCAAAATGGTTTCTGGACATTTGATTTCACACAGAACAAATTCATAGTATTTTGAGATTTGGAAATAGGCGGGGTGGTGGTACCTACCCGTGCGGACTCACAAGAGGTCCTACCACCAGTAAGGTTTGTTTGAGTTGAGTTTTCATCCTCATGATGAAAGGATAATTAACATATTGGGTTAGATAACATAAAAGTATATAGTAGGCCCTGAGTACGAACACACATTCTTAATTGGTGGTAAGACGTATTGTGAGTCCGCACGGGTAGGTACCACCACCCTGCCTATTTATGCCGTGAAGCAACAATGCGTTTTGGTTTGAAGGGCGGGGCAGCCGTTGTACTGTAAAAACTGAAACCTTAGAACTCATTTCTCAAGGAGGATGGCAGCATTTACGTTGTGGATGTCTTGCTTCAGTAACCACGTAACACCAGGTGGGCTGTGAGTTCCTCCACCCATCTGAGCAATATATAAATAAAAAATTATAGGAAAGAAATATAAGTTGCTAAACAAAAGTGTTATTATATATTTCCAAATTCTAATTGGCTTAAACCAAATAGTTCCAATCGCCACATAAAATCTGTACACAATATTGTGGTACTTAAAGCATTGGCGGGGCCGGTTCTGTCATTACCGAAGATCCCTTACCGGCTCCAAAGTTCATATTTTCTCGACAATATCCTCACCTTCGATCCAATGATGAGCAAGAGTGGCAGAAGCACGTTTGGACTTGGAATAAGTGGCTATGCAAGAGGCCGGTGCTCGCTGGACGCAACGCTCGTGTACCGTAAATTTGCAAACTGAAAACGAGGAAAATACTAGAAGATAAAAACTAGAAAATAGTGACTCCAGGGCAAGAGACCCACGAAAATGATAGGTTTACCGACCGACACCAGAAGGTAAAGCCTATTTAAAGCTGATAAGACAATGCAATCGAGGTCTCCACGTTTTACCACAGTAATAATTTTAGATTATATTAACGAAAATAGTTTGGACTCCGTAAACATGTGAGGTCTTGTATATTGCACTGTCACTAACTAGTCTAGTCATTAAATATATTAAATTTCCTAACTCAGCATACTTCAATCAGTTAACAACTGCTCAATTCATATCATACCCTGTGCCTATGCTAGCGCCATTCTGGAGGGTTTTTGAACTGTTATTTAGTGCTGAAAGCGGGACACTTTTTCAAGCTTCTCCCATATGAGACGGTTCTCCTTACCTTTACCCTCCATAACATTCACATTAATTACAATTAGACTTGATATTTTTGTTCTCCACCTAAAATCATCATGATATTTTGGTACTCACAAATGCAACACAAGCCCTTTTTCCCGAGCCCCACGAGCATGTTCAAGCACAGATTGCAATACGCTGGTCTACTGAAGTGCTTTAATCTCCACGCGTGCTCGCCGTCTTCTTTCACGTTAGTATCCAAGCCCAAGAGAACCAGCAGAGGTATTGTGGTCATGCTATAAAGACAGAATATTGGTGCGAAACTTTGCAACTTATGGAACGTAACTGTGAATTTGTAGTGGATTAAGAGATGTGACGCTTGGTACATTCCTGTCAAGCAATCCAATTATGGGTTCAAATCCCGCAGGCATCTATTAATTTTCCATAAGATATAAAGACTGGGCAGGTTGGCAGACCTTAGATCTTAATTTCATACTACCTATTTTTTTGTCTAGCCTTGAAGGATGATCCTGGCTTCACCATGACTGTTGGGTGAGTTCAGTCTGAAAAAACATGCTACTATCTGGCCTGGCAAGAGGAGTGTTTTACTGAATCTACCACCGGGTCGAAATCGTGACTCAATTAGAAGGTCCGACGAGAAACTCAGTGTGTGGTATCTATGGTTTAAGTTAAGTCGAAATCTTGGTTACGAGGACGGTGACCGGGACTTAGAATCCCTAAAAGCTCTCGAGAATGGATCGAGAGGATCTGAAAGAACTCTATCCGGGCTTACAGAACGCTCCATACCAGTTAATACTCCAACTTATAAACATTACGGGTCAAATTTAACTTTACGATTAATTTTGACTCCAACACGGTCACTTTACGGAATCTACGATACCATAGGTTAATGTGGTAAATAACTTTGGTAAAAATGACCAAACAGGCTGTGAACTCTATGGCATAATTTATACTAATAAAAAGTACAACTGGTAAACTTTTAGATACCAGTATGTTCGCTTACCCGCCTCGTTTCCATTCGTCTAGGGAGACCGTCCCATCGGCGTCATAGTCTATCTCAACCATCATATCTTGTAAAATCTGAAAAGTGAATGAAGATCTTTTTAGTTCCTCTCGAAAATCCCTCTCTCTATATTTATTCGTGGGTATTGAGACTGTTTGATGATCTTTACGTAGGACTAGGTTTTTTGTGTGGCCGAAAGTACCAAAAGTGAATGCAGGTTAGTTGAGAAACTTTAGTTGCTCACAAAAAACCCTTTTGCTATGTTTCTCCGTGCGTATTATATATATACGTGGTTTGAAAATCTTTTACCAAAGACTTTTGTGAGTCATTTTAAATTTTGGTCCACACTTGGTTTATAAACCTTTTTCTAGCCACCAGCTAAAACTGTCAGAACCTGGTTTTTGGCATCCGTATTATCAATGTCATTGAGTGACTTCATCTACTCATGCAACGTGCCGCGTTAATTCAGTATTCAACCAGAATGAAACAAGCTCCATCTTCCCAGTTATAAAAGTATGTAAACCACTGGACCTATAGCAACAGTTACCATGGAAATTATATTTATGCGTCGTTAGGTTACGTGCTACTACTAATGGTAGATAAAGGATCCATGCAAAATCATAGACATACAATTTTATTTAATATGTATGAGACATAAAATTATCTGTGATTAATCGCAATCCGGGCAATCGAGTTTCAGTTCCCATTTCTTCCAGACGATGTGCTTTTTTTTTTAATACCTCACTAGCAAACAACAAAGCAAGAGATTCTTATTTACATTTTTTGTTTTAATTTTAATTATAGTTGATACTCCTGCCCATAAGGGACTTAAAAACTAGGTCACGCATTAATTCCGAGTCTCTTCATCATAGGAGTGGGTGATATAAATCGTATATAGATTCAATATCTATATATCGCAGCAATATCGTTGAATCCGATATCGCCCCGCACGAAATCTATATATCGATATCAGCCGATACACGATATTGCTCGATGTGATGCGCATCGCCATATCGGACCGATTCGTGAATCGAAATCTATATTTCGATATCAGCCGATACACGATANTGGTACCTACCCGTGCGGACTCACAAGAGGTCCTACCACCAGTAAGGTTTGTTTGAGTTGAGTTTTCATCCTCATGATGAAAGGATAATTAACATATTGGGTTAGATAACATAAAAGTATATAGTAGGCCCTGAGTACGAACACACATTCTTAATTGGTGGTAAGACGTATTGTGAGTCCGCACGGGTAGGTACCACCACCCCGCCTATTTCTGCCGTGAAGCAGTAATGCGTTTCGGTTTGAAGGGTGGGGCAGCCGTTGTACTGTAAAAACTGAAACCTTAGAACTCATTTCTCAAGAAGGATGGCAGCATTTACGTTGTGGATGTCTTGCTTCAGTAACCACTTAACACCAGGTGGGCTGTGAGTTCCTCCACCCATATGATCAATAAATAAATAAAATTACAGAAATGAAATATAAGTTGCCAAACAAAAGTGTGATTATATACCTCCAATATCTAATTGGCTTAAACCAAATAGTTCCAATCGCCACATAAAATCTGTACACTATATTGTGGTACTTAAAGCATTGGCGGGGCCGGTTCTGTCATTACCAAAGATCCCTTACCGGCTCCAAAGTCCATATTTTCTCGACAATATCCTCACCTTCGATCCAATGATGAGCAAGTGTGGCAGAAGCACGTTTGGACTTGGAATAAGTGGCTATGCAAGAGGCCGGTGCTCGCTGGACGCAACGCTCGTGTACCGTAAATTTGCAAACTGAAAACGAGGAAAATACTAGAAGATAAAAACTAGAAAATGATGACTCCAGGGTTAGAAGCCTACGAAAATGATAGGGTTACCGACCGACACCATAAGGCAAAGTCTTCGCCAAATGCGGGTATGCATATGTAGCAGGTAACTATTTGACATCTTCGTCAAAACACGTTATAGATCTTAATCTTCTTCTTCCTATTCGTACACTCTTGACAGTGGTCGTGGTCATGCATCAGTCGGATCCTGCGATACCGATGCTCTCGCGATGCGACGCCATGTGGCACGATGTTTCGCAGAGTGAGAGCAATCATTTATGTCTTCTTGTCTGTCTGTCTGTCTGTGTATATCTATGATCTTAATCTAATGACAGTTTTTTAGAATTTATATTGTCATTCGATAATTCTTCTTCTTCTTCACCTTATCCCACTAGGTAGGGTCAGCATAGCTAATTTTTTCTTCCATTCTCTTCTATCAGTCGTCATCTCCACACTCACCCCTCTCTCTCCCATATGTTCATTCACATACTCTATCCATTTCTTCTTCGGTCCACCTCTTCCCCCTCTACATTTTTTGTCACTGTCATTCGTTCTCATTCGATACGTCATAATAATTTACGTGTCAGTTTTAGAAAACGCTTATACATAAAATTAAATATGTTTTCATGTTACAACAAAATCTAACCTATTAAAGCCGGTCCAGCCGAATCTAGTCGAGTGACCAATAAATCTTCTAAGTGAATTACAAAAAAAAATGTATAAAAAATTCACCAAATAACCATAAATGAACGAAATAAATACCATACAATATGGCATTGACATATTTTTAAATCATGTTACACATTCACTATGGAGAGTAGAGGTAAGTTGAACCGTCTCTGTGTGTGAAAAAGTGTCCGTTAAAATCTGCTAAACAAGGGTGGCGCTACAGTAGCAACCGGGTAAATTTTAAAAAAGGCCCCAAAAGTTATTAGAATAAGATAGAGAAATAAAAAGGACGAAAGAACTGTAAGCACTACAAAATCACAAAAAGTATTTTATTTAAAGCTGATAAGAAAATGCAATCGATGTCTCCACGTTTTACCACAGCAATAATTTTAGGTTATATTGACGAAATTAGTTTGGACTACGTTAACATATTGTGAGGTCTTGTATATTACACTAGTCATTAAATATATTAAATTTCCTAACTCAGCACACTTCAATCAGTTAACAACTGCTCAATTCATATCATACCCTGTGCCTATGCTAGCGCCATTCTTTAGGATTTTTGAACTATTATTTAGTGTTGAAGGCGGGACACTTTTTCAAGCTTCTCCCATATGAGACGGTTCTCCTTACCTTTACCCTCCATAACATTCACATTAATTACAATTAGACTTGATATTTTTGTTCTCCACCTAAAATCATCATGATTTGGTACTCACAAATGCAACACAAGCCCTTTTTCCCGAGCCCCACGAGCATGTTCAAGCACAGATTGCAATACGCTGGTCTACTGAAGTGCTTTAATCTCCACGCGTGCTCGCCGTCTTCTTTCACGTTAGTATCCAAGCCCAGGAGAACCAGCAGAGGTATTGTGGTCATGCTATAAGGACAGAAAGTGGTGCGAAACTTTGCAATGAATGAAACTGTTATGCTGGGTCCCCCGAATAGGTTTTTTAAAGAAGGATTTTGAAAAAGAGATTTCACTTTTATTAGTTCAATTACACAAACAATTAAATTATAGAAATTGGCAGAAAGGAGATATTTTCTAAGACCGCTCCCGATGGGTGGACTATTACCAAGAGATTTCTCAGAATGCTTACTCAGCACCAGTGGTGATTGAAAGAGGATGCATCATTACTTTAAGGGGAGTCTGTAACAGAACGTAAGTGTGAATTTGTAGTGGATTAAGAGATGTGACGCTTGGTACATTCGTATCAAACATCCGATTATCAAATTCCGCAAGCATATATTAATTTTTCATAAGATATAAAGACTGGGCAGGTTGGCAGACCTTAGATCTTAGTTTCATACTACCTAGTTTTTTGTCTAGCCTTGAGGGGTTATTCTGGCTTCACCATGACTGTTGGGTGACTTCAGCCAAAAAAAACATGCTAATATCTGCCTTGGCATGAGCAGTGTTTTACTGAATCTACCATCGGATCGAAAACCCAATTAGAAGGCCCGGCGAGAAACTCATTGTGTTGTATCTATGGGTTAAGTTAAGTCGAAATCTTGGTTACGAGGACGGTGACCGGGTCTTAGAATCCCTAAAAGCTCCGAGAGTAGATCGAGAGGATCTGAAAGGACCTAACAACCTATGCGGACTTACAAAAAGCTCGATACCAATATAGTGAATACTCCAACTTATAAACATTACGGGTCATATTTAAATTTACGGTGAATTGGCTCCAACATGGTCACTTTACGGAATCTACGATACCATAGGTGAATGTGGTAAATAAATTTGGTAAAAATGACCAAACAGGCTGTGAACTCTAGGGCATAATTTATACTAATAAAAAGTACAACTGGTAAACTTTTAGATACGAGCATGTTTGCTTACCCGCCTCGTTTCCATTCGTCCAGAGAAACCGTCCCATCGGCGTCATAGTCTATCTCAACCATCATATCTTGTAAAATCTGAAAAGTTAATGAAGATCTTTTTAGTTACTCTCGAGAAACCCTCTATATATATTATTTATAGAGAGAATATAGAGATATTTATCCGTGGGTATTAAGACGGTTTGGTGATCTTTACGTAGGACAAGGTTTTTTGTGTGGACGAAAGTACCAAAAAGTCAATGCAGGTTAGTTGAGAAACTTTAGTTGCTCACAAAAAACCCTTTTGCTATGTTTCTCCGTAGGTATTATATACGTTTTCGGCACGCACCGCGGTACCGTAAGTTTCGTGTAGTCGGTGTGGTGGAGCTCGATGGGGTTTAGTCGGTAGTCGTTCTGCGGTGCAAGCGCTTCGCGCGCCTTTTTCAAGGCGTAGTCTCCTGTGAGAAATTGGGGGAGGTGAAGGACCTCGGCCCTTCTCTTCTCCCCTTCTTCCTCTCAGGAGGCGCCGGAGTCCGACATAACCCGGTCCGTTACCCCCTCGACCGGGTATCCGTAAATGGAATCCCCAGCGTTAAAAAAAAAGTTTATAACGTACGTGGTTTGAATTTTTTTTACCAAAGTCCTTAGTGGATTATTTTCAATTTCTTTTACACACTTGGTTCATAAACCTTTTTTTAACCACCCGCTAAAACTGACAGAACCTGGTCTTCGGCTTCCGTATTAACAATGTCCATGAGGAGTGAAGTCATCTACTCGCGCAACGTGCCGCGTTAATTCAGTATTCAACCAGAATGAAACAAGCTCCATCTTCCCAGTGATAAAGAGTTGCTTTTGTCAATGTCTGGTCTGTAAACTACTGGACCTATAGCAACGGTTACCATGGAAACTATATTTATGCGTCGTTAGGTTGTGTGCAGTGGTAGATAAAGGATCAATGCAAAATCATAGACACACACTTAATAAAATATTTGTATGAGACATAAAATTATCTGTGATTAATCACAATCCGCGTAATCGAGTTTCAGTTCCCATTTCTTCTAGCAAATCCGCCTACCTCGAGACATGATCTTGAAACTTGAATATGTGATGGTTTTGGGCAGAAATAGACAGGGTGGTACGTACTTGGATATACAATACTTTTTGTTTATTGCTTAGATGGGTGAGCCCCAGCCCGCCTGGTGTTGAGTGGTTACTGGAGCCCATAGACATCTACAACGTAAATGCACCTTGAGATATAAGTTGTAAGGTCTCAAGTACAGTTACAACGGCTGCCCCGCCCTTCAAACCGAAACGCAACTACAACTACAATACTGATTTTTTTTTTCATTTCCTTACACCTAAAACTTACAGGCCTCAACTCAGAAGTCTCCCAGCCTAGATATTCAGCGACCGCCATCATCTGGTTCACGATGCAGTCCATCTCGTTAGTGTCCAGTACGCCGTTACCATCGGTGTCGTAGAGTCTAAACATGACTGCAACATGAACGCATGAGATGAGTGCTCTGAGGAATTGTTTGAGATGATCCCCTCATCTCCTTTTTATCATCACACCTCTCGCCATCGGAGCAGAGTTCATCTCAGCGTGAGACCTCTGGAAACGCACTATCGATGAACGCAGTGGCGTTCATCGATAGTGCGTCTTTTTTGCCACGTACCATCCAGCTATAGAATGCTCCCCTCCACGGCATTTCCCGAGCGCTATGACATGTCCTTCTTCAAAAGAGGCATGTGAAGAGTATTAAGCAGTAGGCAGCGGTTTGGCTCTGCCCCTGGCATTGCTAAAGTCCATGGGCGACGGTAACCACACACCTAAAGGTGGGCCGTATGCTCGTCTGCCTACAAGGGCAATAAAAAGAAATATGACTCGCAGAAACCTCAATAGTTCAAGCCTGAATTGCTTATGACCATAAGTTCTTGTTACTTTTCGAAACACAAGCCTCGATTGCTCTGCAGCACAAATATATCGCGCTAGGACCAACCAAGGAAAACCGTAATGTCACCTCATCAGAGGTACTTGTTTAGGTAGTGCCAGTATGTGGCATAAATTCAAAAGACTTCACCAAGAATTCTTCACCTTTGAGGCAGAAGACATTGCAAAATTTGGTCAGACGAAAGTGCCTATATCTAATTTACAGATAAAATTAATGGCAAAAATGTAAATAGAAATGATAGAAAAGCTAGAAAGAAAAAAAGATTTCCTGTCTAGTCAAAATCCATCATCAAAAGTTGGATATATCAATTTTTTTAACAGCCCACAGACGTCCACTTCTGGACATAGGCCTCTCCCAAGCCTCGCCACAAAAATCGGTCCTGCACTGCCTACATCCAGCGGATCCCTGCGAGCCTTAATAGGTCGTCAGTTCATCTTGTGAGAGGCCTACCCACGCTACGTCTTCTGGTACGCGGTCGCCACTCAAGAACTTTCTGGCCCCAACGGCCATCCATTCTACGAGCAATGTGCTATAGCCACTGTCACTTCAACGTCGCAATCCTTTGGCCTATGTCGGTTACCATGGTTTTCCTACGCATCTTTATTTTTATTGCTTAGATTGGTGGACGAGCTCACAGCCCATCTGGTTGTTAAGTGGTTACTGGAGCCTATAGACATCTACGACACATATGCGCCACCCACCTTGAGATATAAGTTCTAAGGTTTCAGTACAGTTACAACGGCTTCCCCACCCTTCAAACCGAAATGCATTATTGCTTTACGGCAGAAATAGGCGGCATCTCCTCATTTCTAATTTGATCTCGTAGGAAAACTCCGAGCATAGCCCTCTCCGTTGCTCTGGGTGACCATGAGTCTTGATATGTCGATTAACGTGTGATAATTGTTACAACGACCGTCTGGTGTAGTGGTAAGTGACATGGTCACTACACAAGGGGGTCGCGGGTTCGAATCCCGCCAAGGGAAGGTATTTGTATGATAAATATAAATGTCTTTTCCAGGGTTATGGATGTGTCTTAAATATATGTATGTGTATAATAAAAAATCTTACATTTATTTCCGTTATCTGGTACCTGTAACACAAGTTCTTTACGAACTTATCACGGGACCAGTTAACGTGGTGTGATTGTTAGTAAATATTTATTTATTTATTTATTTATAATATGAACTTGATCTTTAACATGACAACAAAATCCAGCATTTGAGGAACAGCACCAGAATCGAGAGTCACACAGGCGACTTTGTTTTATATTTCGCTTACGGAGTTTATCAGTAGATCAATCTTCTACTTACACTCCAGCTTGTCTTCAGGTCTGCCTGCTTCTAGGAGTGAGAGGTAACAGACGATATCCTTGAGGGAGACTCTGGCTGTGTGTACTTCTACTGTCGATGAGCGTCTCATTAGGTGTCTAAAATCTAGAACAAAGGGATTTGTTTGCCTTTAAGCACCCCAGCGTTTGGTTTAACCACCGGTTTTCAGGAGTACTGATACATAGCTGTCTCTGTTTCCAATGTATCCAATTCTTAGGAATCGGTATTTATTTGTCTCTGTAATGTCCCTCTAATGCATATTAGAAAAGTGAAATTATGAAAAATATGTACTTGCGTTTTTTTGAAGTGAAAACTTCTTTAAAATCGTTGTGATTTCAAACCGGATGCAACGGAAAAAACGACAGGTAAGAGACACAAATATAAAAGAATGAGACAGAAATATACATACTATTTAATACAGCGCCATCTGTGAGATTTTTTTAATACTAACGTGTGTATGAAAGCTCTTGTAGTGAATTTTAATTTAGGATTATACGTGAAATTAAAATATCAATTCACAGAGGGCGCTACCTTACAATTATTTACTAATTACAAAATTTTAAGACGTTTAGGATAATTGTATTTTAATTTTGGAAGGTTTCACTTCTACCACGTGTGAATTGCACACATGTATTTTTTTTTACTCGATCGAGCATAATCAATTAACAGGTTAACAGAGTTAAGTGGTATTTTATTTAAAAAATAAAACAATCTCAAATATCGTTGAAATTTTCGTCAAAGACGGGCCACTAGTTTAAAGATATAAACAAATCACCTTCGATTTTAGTAGACTGGTTGACCCTCATTGAGTTGCTGCTCTTTCTGCTGGAGTTTCTCGACATTTGACTGTGACTGGGACTGGTCTCGTTGCGTCTGTCCAAGCAGAGCTCGTGGGAGGAGTACGAAGGATGCGTGGTCACCGTGAACATGGGGTGGACGCTACCTGGAAGTCAAACGTAGCCTGTCGACGGTTTTTATTATTCCCAAGATGGGTGAACGGTTCACGGCCCACCTTTTTTTTTTTTATTGCTTAGATGGGTGGACGAGTTCACAGCCCACCTGGTGTTAAGTGCTTACTGCAACGTAAATGCCCCACCCACCTTGAGATATAAGTTCTGAGGTCTCAAGTATAATTACAACGGCTACCCCACCCTTCAAACCGAAACGCGTTACTGCTTTACGGCAGAAATAGGTAGGGTGGTGGTACCTACCCGCGCGGACTCTCAAAAGGTCCTACCACCAGTAAAACTCTAAGAGGTCCTACCTGGTGTGAAATGCTCACGGGAACCACACAGCGGCTATCCCGCCTATATCCTATTTAATATTAGGGGTTTAAGTATGAAATTGCCGATTTGTACTGAAGAAATGAAATTCGTTTTTTATTTTTTATTTAACATAGTTATTTAATCAAAATATCTACCATTATTATCTATACTGTCAACTAATAGAAAGGTAATTTATGCCTTTGCGATAGAACTCTGGTGATCTAGATTCTACAAACTGTGTGAAAGCATTTTGTGCTGCCTCCTGGAAAGAAAACTTTTTATCACGTAGAAAATTGTCCAAATCTTGGAGATTCTTGTCTAAGCTGAATAAAAAAAACAACTGAAGGTCGATAATTTTCAAATACGATCATGACTGTGTCAAGCAATAATAGGCAAGATGGTGGTACCGATACAGTGATCATGGCCTTACCGGTTCTGCTTCTTGATCCCTTGTCGCTTCCGTCTACCGAATCAGCGGAGCTCTTTCCCAACTGCTGAAGTCTCTCAGCCAGACCGTGGATCTTCGAAGCCAGCGTTGGTTTCACCTGGAAGCCGCCATATAAATTGCACTCTTTCTGTTAATCATAAATATAGATGACTAGCTGACCTGGCAGACTTCGTAGTGCCTCAATCGATAAATAAAAGACGTAAGCTTTTGTATAAAATAAACTTAAAATACTCAAAAGGAATCCATCCGACGGGGGACACATGAAAGGAAAAACAAAACTGTTATTTTTGTTTAATTCCGAGCATTCTCATATTTATCTACCTTTCAAATCTTCTCTGGTTAGAATTGTGGAGCAGTTGGATTACAGTATAGTCGAAACTTTGACCTTATGGGTGAAGGTCCCTGTATTGAGCTTTAGTAACCATAAAGAATAATAGATAGGATGTGAGCTGGCTGTGATGGCTGGACGATCTTACAGCCCGCTAGGTATTAAATGGTCACCGGAGCCCATGGACATAAGCAACTTAAAAGAACTGGAATGAACCCCCTCGATGTTTCAACAGCTCTATGATATTCCATTTAAAAACGCCTTGATATTTCAAATACCATATAACGCGCAGCACTTTTTGTTCATGGCTTTTGGCGTCCATGGGCGACGGTAACCACTCACCATCAGGTGGGCTGTGTGCTGTGATGATGCGGCGCTATTTCCATGTCCGGACAAGGTTCATAGTACTCATTTAAATCCGAAACGACAACAGCTCAACCGAAAGGGGACCGTCAGTTAATTTTAAAAGTGCTTAGTATACAAATGATAGGTTTGCGTTTATACTACAATTTTCGATGCTCATCTCTGTACCTGATGGTCAGCATGGGCTGTGACCGCTGCGCAGGCCGTAGTGGAACTAGCAGCCGCCATCTCCCGCAGCGCTGGTCTGCGATCTCGCCGAACAAACGACAGGAACAAATGTCTATAATACGATAAGCAATAGTCAGACCAGAAGTAGGCGGCACGACATGAGAACCCTCTTGTCGTGGCCGCTGGAAACTACGTACCCAACCCTGTATACCGAATGGTAAACCGTCGGCGTCGCCCAAAGCACGTCATTACGGATCCTCCTGATCCATTAACGGTGCTTTTAGGCACCACAAGCACCGGTCACCGTCCTCGTCGAACCCGTCGCATGCGACAAAGGGCTCGATGAGCGAATTAACCCATACACACAGCCCACTGAGTTTCTCGCCAGATCTTCTCAGTGGGTCGCGTTTCCGATCCGGTGGTAAATTCTGCGAAGCACTGCTCTTGCTGGGTCAGTGTTAGCAACACTCCGGTTTGAGCCCCGCGAGCTCACCTGCACACGTTAGGGCGAAGCTGAAATAGCCTCTCAAGGCTATCAGCATAGGTAGGAAAAAGAAGGTAGACCAAAGAAGGGGACCAGTTAAAATTATTGACCAAACTACCTAGCTCTTTTTATCCTACCTAGTCTAGTAACCTCGAGGGGTTATACTAGATTCGCAGAATGAGTAAGAGTGAGCTCAAGGGGCTCTAACCTGAGGACGTCGCTAACACTTGGCCTAGCAAGAGCAGTTCTTCGCAGAATCTACCACCGGATCGGAAACGAGACCCACCGAGAAAATCCGGCGAGAAACTCAGTGGGTTAATTTATTCGCCAAACTTTTTGTCGCAAGCGACAGGTTCGACGAGAACGGTGGCCGGTGCTTGAGGTAGCTAAAAGTACTGTTAGTGGATCGGGAGGATCCGAATTGACGTGTGATATCAAGTTCAGTAATCCGGGTTTGCTCCGTAAAACAATTAGCGCACCATGTGTCTAGAGTTTCAAGTTAACAGGTTAAGGACCGAGATTTCTTAGCGATTTTTGCCAAATGTAATTAAATGCATACCTATGGACAAAGAATTACTCAAATAAGCTATTCCTACTTTTAGTTTTTTGATTATGCAATTGTATTGTCGAATATTCCCCCTTCAATATGTTATAGCTACTAGCCTAGATGAGCCATGGCGGTTCGCGTTTCTTACATTGAATAGAAAACTTGCGGTCGGGGGTATTTTAGGCAGGTGAATTGTGGCGGTCCCAAGAGACCGCTAATTTTGTTTTGGCAAAATAATGGAACCCTCCATAGGGACCGCTCCGGTCCTTAACCTGTTAAAATAAAACATTTGTCGCGAACAAACAAACACACAAACATTTTAAGTTCGCGCAATACTTGTCGGATGACGAATAAAAGAAACCGAAATGTTTTATTTCTCGGACGGCTACTAGTCGTATTTTAATAGTGCCCTAATGAAAACATTCTCTGAGAAATCAACAACAAGAATTGTGTATAGTGTAGTGTTTCTATTCTATCAATTAACGAGACGCCGTCGAAGCCAGACACCCAAATTTAATATTAACCTAGAAAAGAAAATACCATTCTATTATAATAATACGTAGTGTTTTAATAATAATAATAAAAATAATAATAAATTTTTTTATTTCAGAATTAAATTGAATATGAAGTGTTAGTAATACAAAATCTTAAAAAAGCAGTACATTTTATTTATTTTACATTGACCATGGCTGGTCTTGAGCCGACATGGACTTCATTCCAGTGCCTCAGCATAGGGCATCAATAGCGACTCCCTATCGCGGCCAGGAGGCTGTTCGAGCTGTCCCGGAGCCGATACCATGCGGAGGCCACGCGCTTACAAATGATCGCGTGAAAGCCATCTATGTGAGCCTCCACAATTTTTTTATTTTTATTGCTTAGATGTGTGGACGAGCTCACAGCCCACCTGATGTTAAGTGGTTACTGGAGCCCATAGACATCTACAACGTAAATGCGCCACACACCTTCTACACACACAGTTCTAAGTTCTCAGTATAGACACAACGGCTGCCCCACCCTTCAAACCGAAACGCATTACTGCTTCACGGCAGAAATAGGCGGGGCGGTGGTACCTACCCGTGCGGACTCACAAGAGGTCCTACCACCAGTAATTACGCAAATTATAATTTGGCGGGTTTGATTTTTATTGCACGATGTTATTCCTTCACCGTGGAAGTCAATCGTGAACATTTGTTGAGTACGTATTTCATTAGAAAAATTGGTACCTGCCAGCGGGATTCGACCGGTGCATCGCTCGATACGAATGCACCGGACGTCTTATCCTTTAGGCCACGACGACTTCAATAATAATGTAGAATAATGTAGTGTAAATTGTATGATATATAGCATATTCAAATGAGATATGCATATGAATGCTCAGTGGTAGGCTTAAGTTTGCTGACGCTGACGCCCATAAGCGACGGTAACCAATGACAGCCAAGTAGCTCCTTTGCTCGTCGTAAGCTCTGAGTTTTTTGCCGGTTTTTCGCAGCAGTGAAATTGCACTCCCATTCCGTAATAAATGTTTTTTACCTGGAGAGTTCATCGGGCGTGGAGACCTCGAGGAACGTGTCCAGGAACCACCGGAACCCCTCATAGTCAATGTCCTGGAACAATAATTTTTAAGATTATTTATACTGATTCTCAAAAGGCTTACACTAATTCACAAAATTATTCATAGGCGGCGCCATTCCCTCGTGACGAAAATCTCACCCGTCATTTTTTTTAATGCCTTTATGGTCGGTTGAGCTCACAACCCACTTGGTGTTAAGAGGTTACCAGAGCCCATAGACATCTATAACGTAAATGACGCCACCCACCTTGAGATAGGGTTCTAAGGTCTCAGTATAGTTACAACGGCTGACCCACCCTTCAAACTGAAACGCATTACTGCTTCACGGCTGAAATAGGCGTGGTAGTACCTAACCTTGCGGACTCACAAGTCTGCCGATTTGAACATGTAACGCTGCGTACTATATAACAAGAAAGCAAACATAATTTGTCTATTCACGTCCTTACGAATCCATCTGATCTATTAACACTAGCATTAGACGCCTTCAGCTCTAGCAGTAAGAGCAGGCTAACCCTGGAAACCGTACTCATCGAACCCGGCAAATCAATCGACGTGCAACCTAACCCATGCATCAGCCCGCTGAGTTTCTCGACTTATCTTCTCAGCGCGCATTCACGCAGTAATCGCCCTTGAGTTATTTGGTCTCCTCTGGAGGCGCTCGGGCAGCTGTTAGCTAATCCCACGCTTCCTGGCTCAGCCTTTGCTCGCCCACCTATCCTGGTGAAACTGGAAAGGCCAGTAATCCTTTCGTCATCAAATAAAAACAGTTCTGTTTTGTTTGCACTGTTCAATCATCGATATACAACAGCTTATATGTATGTACATCAGACGTCCGTTTTTTTTTTTTTGGTCTGGAGGAAATCGCCTGACTTCCGCCCTCCACTGGGGATAGAGGGCGGAGCACAAACCTCGCATGAGACAGAACTCATGAAGAGGCAAAGGAGGAAAGTGAAGCGTTTAGTGCGGAGCACATCTCTCCCATCATCCTCCCCCTCGGGACGCCGAACCGGCGGTTGTCGGCGCCACGACCACCAGCCCTCTCGGTCGGCAGGCTATCCGAAGCCCGCCTAAATGGCGCCGGTTAGAGTGAGCTATCCTACGGAAGCGTTGTTTTAAATCGCGCTTGTCTTTAGAATTTGTTTATGGAATTCATAATTTCTTCCGAGAGTACATCCTAGATAAAGCCTTACGAAGGCAAAGTTTTAAGGGAATGTAAGAGAGCAGTTTATTTTGGAAACAAATCGATACAATCTTATTACAAACATCAGGTGGCGCGGTACAGAAATTGTGGTTTTTCTTACTAAAAAAGAGGTTATGCTTTTTTAGCAATTATTGTTGTCTGACTCGATGGTGCAGTAGTTAGTGGCTCTGATAGTTGTGCCGAGGGTCGTGGGCTCGACTCCCACTTCATGAAAACATTCGTGTGATGAACAAGTTATTTCGCTGTTTGTCTGGGTGTTTATTATCTATGTATGTATGTATATATTTAAACTTATATAAGTATGCATGTCAGTCTCTGGTATCCATAGCACAGGGAATCCTAATTTAGGGCCGGGTGAATATGCGATTTTTATTTATTATTTTTCGAGAGTGCCGTGTTTCTGCCGTGAAGCAGTAATGCATTTCGGTTCGAAGGATGGGGCAGCCGTTGTACTGTTTTTATTAAGATCTTAGAACTTACGTCTCAAGATGTATGGCGGAATTTACATCGTAGGTCCTTATGGACTCCGGTAAACACTTAACACCAGGTGACACGTGACATCGCCCACCTATCTCAGCTATAAAAAAATCACGATTTTGGGGTTTATGGACTCTAATAGCCACTTCAAACGAAGTGAACAGCTTATCTGCCGACCTTAGTAATTAAATAAATGTAAAAAATACATTAAAATAAGAATTGGCAGTGGAAAGAAAATTGGAACTGGGACATCCCTTTATCACACCAAAAAGTTTTCTCTACGGTATAAAATACCAAAATCTCAGCGGAGATTAAAAAAAACTTCCACTAATCTTGTACCGCGCTATACAGGACGGTTCCATCCGTCGCCTAGCAACGGGCGTCTATTGCCGAAGCGCCATGTTTGATTCCCCCTCTGTTTACGAAACGCCTGGAAAAACATACAACTTATTTAGGATCTTCTTCTCAGACGGACCCTCTTGTCAGAGTGGTCGTGGTTGCGCTGACGATTTATATGCAGAAGCATCTGTAAGGTCACCTATGCTATCGAGAACCGCCACTATTTGGGATCATTAAACAGCAATTTAAAAGCTTAAAACCAATGGTAGGAGGTATCGCAATTCTGCTTACTTACGCTTTACTGGTGGAAGGACCTCTTGTGAATCCGCGCGGGTAGGTAACACCACCCTGCCTATTTCTGCCGTGAAGCAGTAATGTGTTTCGGTTTGAAGGGTGGGGCCAGTCGTTGTAACTAATATATACTTGAGACCTTAGAACTTATATCTCAAGGTATGTGGCGCATTTACGTTGTAAACGTCTATGGGCTCCAGTAACCACTTAACACCAGGAGGGCTGCGAGCTCGTCCACCCATCTAAAAAAAACCTACTAACGAAATACCTATGCGTTCTTATTAAAGGAACATCAAAAAACTGTAAAAGTTATAGCCAAAAGCGAAACAAATATATTGTTTGCATCTAAGATGACCAGGTTACAGTTCTTGTTGTGGTTACTTATTGACTCGGCACAGCTATTGGTCCCATCGAGCTCATCTCTGAGGACTATTTCTAATTATTCTATTTAATCTTTCCAAAAATTCTTAAATGCTTTGTGAATGAATGCACGATCTGGTTATTTGGATCAGCCTTGTTCTGGTGTCAGATGGGGCAACGCTAAAAATGAGAAGACGGGGTCATGTCAAGATTACACATAATTTTTCCCGTGGAAATGGAAAAATCAAAACTCCTGTATAGGCTCAAAGTCTTCTCTGAGATCGATGTTGTGGACAATCCGAATGATCCTCTTCTATCTGGATTCGAAGCGAGGAGAGAAACAATACTCCACGCGATGTAGGAACTATTGTCAATCATAAATATTTAACCGCTTCACTTGTTTAAGGACCTTCTTCAAACGAGGCTTGTGGAGAGTATTAAGCGGTAGGCACCGGCTTGGCTCCGCCCCTGGCATTGCTGAAGTCCATGGGCGACGGTAATCACTCACCATCAGGTGGGCCGTATGCTCGTCTGCCTACAAGGGCCATAAACAAAAAAAAAGACCAAATCCAATATTCTAGAAGCAGGCTGAATATTTTATCAACTTTTTGTTTCATTACATAGATTGACAAGCTCATAGGCCACCTGGTGTCAGGTACCCAAGTATTCCAAGGAGAATTACCACCCATCTTGAATTACGAGGTAATATATTTTAAGCCATATTGAAAGAGGGATATGAGGATAGACAAATTAATACTTCAAGCGATTTCAAAAAGCATTAAGTTAAACTAAGAATGTAGCACAAACTTTGCTGTGTAAGCTTCGCGAGCTTTCGAACTACATAAATTATGAAGCGAGCAAACGTAAAGATAAGTCCGTTCATTAATTCCAAGACAGGAGAGCTTTGTAAAGCTTCTAACCGTTGCTACGATTTTAAGTGTCTCTTTGGTTTAACATTGTTTTGAATTCACGTAAAGGGTATTCGGTAAAATAAGACTTTGCTAGACTCATTATACAATTGAGACTCCTACCTACGACTTACTTGATTTTTATTTTTTTCCTAGATCTGTGGACGAGCTCACAGCCCACCTGGTGTTAAGTGGTTACTGGAACCCATAGATATCTACAACGCAAATGCGCCACACACCTTGCGATAGAAGTTCTAAGGTCTCAGTATAGTTACAACGGCTGCCCCACCCTTCAAACCGAAACGCATTACTGCTTCACGGCAGAAATATGCGGGACGGTGGTACCTACCCGTGCGGACTCACAAGAGGTCCTACCACCAGTAAAAATTAATATGGGTATTAGAAAGGGGACATTGTCGTTTTGATATTTATAGGGTCTGGTAACCATGTTATAAGCCTTCGTCTAATCACAATAAAGCCGTTAGAGTATTGTTAAAGAAATATGTATAATATGTTTCTAAATGGCTTTTCTCAGAGGACGGCACAAACATTAGCATTATCAAATAAAATTGCTGGTGTGGGTAATAAAATCTCACAAGCAAAATAGCTTGGCGAAAATCTTTCATTTTTCCACAATGCGTTTTCCAAGAACGATCTATTTTAAAAGGGGCTTTTAAGTTGACTAAACCGTAAAGCTTTTGTCCGTACGAGATCTCGTCGTTAAGCATCTTACGGTTGCTAGGCAACGACGTAGGCCGCCATTTTAAATCCACGGTACTGTTGACAATTACCTTTTTTATGCGTACTACTTTAAGGATGGCGGTAATAAGGTTTAGTTTTTTTTTGCTGCTCTAGTCACAGCCAATTTAGTGTTAAATAGTTGCTTGAGCGTTAGCACCTATCTTGGTACGTGAGGTTGAATTTTCAGTTGTAATTTACAATGGCTATATTTTAATTTTTTATTGCTTAGTTGGGTGGACGAGCTCACAGCCCACCTGGTGTTAAGTGGTTACTGGAGCCCATAGAGATCTATAACTTAAATGCCGCCACCCATCTTGAGATATAAGTTCTAAGGTCTCAGTATAGTTACAACGGCTGCCCCACCCCTCAAACCGAAACGCATTACTACTTCACGACAGAAATAGACAGGGTGGTGGTACCTACCCGCGCGGACTCACAAGAGGTCCTACCACCAGTGTTCAATTTCATCTGAGCAGTAATAAGGAGGATAATAGTACAACCTATCGGTGAAGAAAACCTGCAGTCTTAGAATTAAAAGGCCAATTACTTTTTACCCTTCTGGACCAGAACCAAACTGGCAAGGTCGTCAACAGAGTTGGATATTTTTACTTGTAGGTTAGTTACGTTTAGAAAAATGTTCAAGGGCATCCTCCACGTTATTAATAGGTAGGTTAATGTAATTGTTTAATGTATTATATTGTGATTTTTTTCC